TTGCAACCGAATGAAAAAATAAACAAGAGAACATTTTTCTTTTAAAAAAAGAATGCTCATTATAAGTGGCTAGTTCCCAATAAAATGAATTAAATTAAAGATTAAACTCCCCTTTTGATCCCTCAACTATTATACGGACCCCCGATTAAGTCCCTCAACTCAAAAAATCCTTGGCTTGGTCCCTACTGTTTACCATTTTTACCCCAATTTGGTTCTTCCGCTAAAAATCCCTCCACGTGTACTGTTAATTCACGGTAAGATGATGACATGTCAAAATTTTAATCTACGTGGAAGACAACATGGCAAAAGCTAGTGACATGACAATAAAAATTTTAAAAATTCTTTCTCCTTCCTCTTCATTTTCTAAACCCAGAGCCTGGGATCGTCGAAACCGTCGCCATGGGTTCCTTCAAACCCAACTCGGCGTTCCTCATTCCCTTTCTCCTTCCTCTTCATTTCCTTCTTCATCAATCAATTCATCATCATCATCATCAAACAAAACCCACAAAACCACAATTTTTTTTTTTTTTATTGAAGAACCCAGTGCCTGGGTTCAATCAAACCTGGTGCTGGGTTCGCTCTTCCTTTCCTTCTTCATCAATCAATTCATCATCATCATCATCATCATCATCATCAAACAACACCCACAAAAACACAGAAATTATTTATTTATTTTTTTGTTGAAGAACCCAGTGCCATCAAACCTAGCACCGGGTTTGAAGGAACCCAGAGCTTGGGATCATCAAACCCAGAGTTTGGGATCGTCGAACCCAGGTGAAGGGTTCCTTCGAACCTAGCTGGGTTCGTCCTACCCAACGCATGGGTTCGACGAACCCAGGCACCCAGATCGCCTGGGTTCGTCGCCTGGGCTTGGGTTCGACGAACCCAGGCGAACCCAGATCGTCGCTTGGGTTTGTTGCCTGGGCTTGGGTTCGTCGAACCTAGGTCCAAACGACGAACCCAGGCGAACCCAGCTGGGTTCCTTGGAACCTAGAGCTTGGGTTCGTCGAACCTAGCGCTAGGTTCCTTGAACCCAGAGCCTGGGTTCCGAGGAACCCAGCGTCGGCTGCTGGGTTTCTGAGAGGGGAAGGGTAAAGAGAAAAGGGAAGAGAAGTAAAAAGAAAAAAAAAGAAGAGTTTTTTAAAGTTTTATTTTTCATATTATTAATTATTATTATTATATTATTATTTTTTTGCCACATCATCCTATAACAGTAAATTAACAGCATAAGTAATGTGATTTTTAACGGAAGGATCAAATCGGGATAAAAATGATAAACAGTGGGGACTAAATTAGGGATTTTTTGAGTTGAGGGACTAAGTTGGGGTCCGTATAATAGTTGAAGAACCAAAATGGGGGTTTAACCTAAATTAAAAGAATGTGAAAGATAGATAGGACAACATGACCATCTACCTCCAACACAAGCCTGGAGATTTCAATATTGTTTGTTTGCCCACCGAAGTCCTCACACTTTTCGCCACCTACCAACCACCAAACGCAAAATTGGATAGGTACCCCTTTCTCCCCACCAAAATTAACTTAATTCCATTCTTAACTTTGCGGTCAGGCATTATTAGTGACAGAGCCCACAGATTGATCCCATCTTCCTTTTCAATTTAAGGCGCTACCCATATTCTCATCCCTCACTGTTCTCTACCCTCTTCTCTTCCCTTGAGATCTCACTGATATGGGTGCTGACAGAAAGGTACTTACTTTGGCTCAGGTCTCCGAGCATAATACCCCCAAGGACTGCTGGCTTATCATTAATGGCAAGGTTATCTTTTTCTCAATGTACTCCTTCTGTTTGGTTAATTTCTATCTGGGTTTTCTTTTTCGCTCGCACTCAATGCTAGATTTGAAGTCTTTGCATGTGTTTCATCCATGGATGTTTTATCAAATTTGTTTTCTAATTGTTTTTTGCTTGTGTTTTTCTGATCTTTCTTGTTTAAGTAGGATGTGTTTGTGGTTGAATTGATATTGGCTTTTGGTTGTTTGATCTATGGATGTCTTATTAAATTTGCCTTATAGCATCTTGATCTGTTTGTTAGATCATCCAATTACTTGGTTGTTGGTCTTTGATCTATTTCGGCCATACAGTATGTTGTAGTGGAATGTGGGACTTAAGTTAGAGATTGATATGACCTAATTTTATATATAGATGCCAGAGTATTCAATAACTTGGCTAGTCTTTTTGCATTTTCATGAAGATTTTGACCTTTCGTGTGTGTAATGGTTCAAGGTGTGTGGCAGCGTAGGCAATCTCTAGCACTGCCAAATTAGGACTACGAACTTAGGCCTATACATATTGTGAACAGCATGAGATGTGAAGTTGGATCTCTACAATATAGATTCTGGTGTTGTTTTATGAAATATGCCAAACATTTAAAGGAAGAGCTCATGTTTAAGTTCAAGAGGTTTATTTATATGCAATTCAGCTTCAGCTATCAGCTTTTCTGGAAATCAATTAACTTAGGTTTTGACCTGATTTCAACTAATTTTGATTGGGGATGTGAATGGAGGGAGGAAGTTCGATTCTTGGCTATGCCAAAGCCTAACTTTATTATTGAAAATTTTTCCAAAGAGGAATTTACACAAGACAGATTCCCATGCATTAGATAATTACTCTATTTTAATTTCATATTTGCTCTTGCAGCCTTCATTTCCTCCAGGAATTCTTGATAACAGAAATGTTTAACTGAATGTCTCCCTTCCTCTTTTCCCCTTTCTCTCTTGTTTGCATTTTTGCAATGTGCATTACTGCATTCTCTCCATGTTTTATGGCATTTTCACCTTTACTCTGACTCTGCCATTAAGTAGTTGTTAACTTAGAGGCAAAAGACACTGTAGCCAAATCTATAATTAATAATATTAAGGATCTTGTCCTTGTTGCAATGTGGTCGGGGACCTTCTCATTTGAAGAAGTATTTTCTGCAGTCCCACATTCTCGACAGAGCTTTACCATTTTCTGCTTAACATGGTAATTCAAATATTCATTTCTCATTTTCAATATTTTAGTTGTAACTTCCAAGTCATTACTCATACCAGCTACCAAAGGTAGGGCTGTTTTAGACTTTTTGCTACTTTTAGGTGAAAAATATAAGAAAGAGATAAGTTTTGGCTTGAGACTCAAGTTTTCTTGCCTTTGATGGCTTAAATGATAGTACTCTGCACAATTCAATTACTATATAGATCATAAACATGATTAAGAATAACAAATCTCAGAAAAGATCAAAGTTCAAGTTCAACTAACTGCATGATGCAGTTAAAATAATTATATGTTGTCATTACAGTGAAGCAAAATTTGTTTACCCTCTAATGTTTTATTTGGTGCCTGTAGCTATGAATAAAATGCGCATTTTTTTTTTTTAATTTGGTTGAAGTAACCAGTTTGACAATCTGTTTGTGATTAAAAGAAAAAAAACTACTTTCAGCCGTTGGAGGTCAATACTAATCTAAATTATATATTGTTTACTTCATCTTGGTATCCATAAAAAATTTTTGAAACAGGTTTATGATGTGACAAATTTCATGGAAGACCATCCTGGTGGTGATGAAGTTTTATTGTCAGCGACAGGTATAAAACTCAAACTTTACTTCAGCCAGGTTTTTCTAGTCTTATCTATTCTTCTTTTACTTATAGATACTATTCTTTGTTCCCGTCTGAATTCTAAATACCACTAACAACCCTAACCTGCTGTCTGGTTTCTATTTTCTGCAGGGAAGGATGCAACTGATGATTTTGAGGATGTTGGTCATAGTACTAGTGCCAGAGAAATGATGGACAAGTACTACGTTGGAGAGATCGATGTGTCCACCATCCCCAAGAAGAAAGCATATACACCTCCAAAACAGCCACATTACAATCAGGACAAAACATCTGAATTCATCATCAAGCTTCTCCAATTCCTAGTTCCCCTTGCTATCTTAGGTCTTGCTGTTGGCATCCGCATTTACACCAAATCATCTTAAGATTCTATCTTGTGATTTTATAATGGAGAACAATGTGCTTCTTTCATGCTAGGTGAACACTGGTTATCAGTTGACTCTCATCTCTCTTTGTTATTGTTTTGTGACCGGTAGTGTAATGGAAGTTGTGCTTTTCCCCTCTCCCCACATTTGTTGTGATAATTTACCCACGTGTTTTATTTATTGCGTTCATAATTACACCCCACCCCCCTTCCAAAAAATAGGGAGAGTCATGTGACCTTAGACTGGTACGACATTATGTTTCTATTGCAATTGCATCACTTAATACCTAGGTTTTGAAGCAATACAGTGATGCTCGAAGCTTGATGAGACGAGCTTTGTACGTGCTTGCTAGGTCTATATCTATATCAGGAGGAGGAATAACATCTAGTGTATCATGGGGACACATCCCATCCTATAAAAATGTGCTGACGCAAGGATTTTACTGATTTCTTGCTGATTTGTTGTTTCTGGTTGAATGGGGATGGTTAACCCGTGATCCCAAAGACTTTCTCTAGAAGAAGTGTTAGCTACAGCGTTTCTGAGAATCCATGTGATGCTGAACAGCTGCAGCAAAAAGCAGTTTGACTTGAGCAATAACTTGCTTCCATTGTTGATCTCCAATTGATGTCTCCCATACCAATAATTGAGAATGAAGAGGCGAAAGAAAAACAGCTCCACATGATCTATAAGTGCGGGAAATTGCTGAGGCTTGTCTAGTGTACTCCTTTAAAGGGCAGCAACTAGAGACATAGATAAAGAGAAGTTTGAAACCTAAGCATTCCCAATGATCTCTACAAATGGTAATACCGTAAGCCTTTCTCCAAGCACATGGATATGAATGATTTATTCCAAAGTCAAGAAAAAGTAGAGAGTCTTGAACATGAACAAACCCACAAAAGAAAGACTTGAATTCTTTTCTTCCAAAACCATTGGGAGGATTTATTCCAAAGCATACTCTGGCATCCTTCTACTCCCTTCCTCTCTCACAAGTGAAATAAAGGAAAATTCACACTTTTTATGTAACAAAAGTTATATCTGTGCTCTTGATTTTTTCTTTTTGCAATGAGGGTTTAAATGTCCCTTTTTAAGTTGTCCTTTGATCCCACTTTTGATCTTCATATCCTAAAAGTGAGTAATACTCTGTTTATAGAGTTATAGTGCTTGGTTAAGGGTTAAACAAATGATTCGATATAACAGCATAAAAATTCATTGACCCCCTTTTTGTTGTTTTATTTATTCATGGATCAAAATCTGGGACAAGGATAAGGCATATCAATTACCCACAAACTCAAGATTGAGACATAGTTGGAATGTCATCATTAAGTAGGCCAAATATACAACACAAAAATGCTGATAAAAACACAAAGTCCATGACCCTCCTCTATCAACCCAAGACACCCTTTTGGTCTTTAATCCCTCTTTTTCCACACAAGGACTCCAATTAATTCATCTTTTTTCTGACCATTGAAAAGCACCAGAGGATTTCATAATGAATAGAGAAAGTTTCCTGAGGACCACTTGAGGTCTCTGCTTCAGTCTGAATTGGCAGCTTCAAAGCAAACGTCAAGATTTTCTCATTTATGCAACAGACACCTTAGCAGGCCTCATTGAAAGCTACCCTTCTCCATCTCCTTGTACAGGGAGAATGCTGAGTTAAAAAGTGCTGTTTTTACAGTTAGCAGTTGAGCCCATATGTCCAAACACACAACAGCAAGGTCCCCAGATTTCTATTTCACAAAAATGGGTCAACTTGGCTTCTACTTGTTCAGTCACCACCACTTTCACCACCTGAGCCTCTTCTTTCTTTTGAGATTCAAAAGGGAAATCATTGGGCCTTTTCATTTTTGTGAGATGGGCCCATCTCCTTTTTGTGAAATTCCATTTTTACCCTCTTCTTCAATGATGATGCAGATTAGAAGGCTTACATTTACCCAAAAATGTGACCTCACATAGGGTCTAGAAACAACATTCAGAACCATATCCACGAATCTACTTATTTGGTTATAATTACAGGACAAATTGTTATGGCTACATAATTTAATTGTTTTTTTTATTAATTTATAATTTTTATTGTTAAACAATTAATATGATGTATGTAAATATTTGTTTATAAATTTATTTTAATTTATTAAATAATAAATATTAATTATTAATTATTTTTAATAATAAAATTAAAATAAAAAATAAACAGATTGTATGGTCTAACAAATGGCTGTGGGAGGCAGTTTCTTTGCATGGTAGTCTTCCATCAGTTAAAACACCAATCAATTCCCACCAGTGAATTTTTATGAAACCCTACTCAGATTTGGAAAGCAATAAAAGAGGTCATTGGAAATTGAAGATTCCTCAGTTTCATCCAATGACATTTAAGCAACAGTACAGCACCCACTGCCACTATAACCACCGTCATTTTTCAGTCAAAATACCCCATTATTAATGGCCAGAAACAAGATCAGATAGCGAGGAAAAGGGCATTGACTTTTTCAACCGTTCTAGACTGAGCAGCATACACATTGCTTGATCTAAGTTCCACAAAAGGGAGGAGGAAAATCATAGAACATCATATGAATTTTCCAAAACTAGCTTCAGAAGTTCAGAGAATCAACCAGAACCAAAAATGTTTGTGCTCACCAAATGGGATTAGAAAATGGTACTGCTCTCATTTATCTATTCTTCTTTCAGAATCTTAAACTCTGTACAAAATCACAATTATCTCACATAAAGATAGGTTTACAGGAAATAAAAGTGCAAAATGGACAAGGCTCATGGGAGAGATGACAAGATTCTTCCAATAGACTACCACCAACAAAACAACCCCACCACCACCACCACCACCAACATCCATTCATCCATCCACATCCACAGCCACCAACCATCCTCACAAGAAGTTAAAATAGGCTAAATAGCCAATCAGTTTATTAAACAACAGTTCCTTCAGATCATAATGACGGGCAGCATTATGAATCTATCATCATAGGTTAATTGAAGTAGCATTGTCTCACATGGAGATAAGAAGCCAAACATTAACAGGGCATAACATAGAAGATGTTAAGAGGAAAAGACAATATGAGAGAGGAAAGGGATCTTTTTATTCCAAAGAGTTTCTAGAGTTCCATCAGTACAAGTATAGACAAAGGGGAGGAAAATACAGTGCAAAAGGAAAAGAAAATCTAGCAATTGCTGCACCAGATAGACCAACCTAATTTGCTGATCCTAACTCTAAACCTACTTCATCTTTCCCTTTCCCTTCTCAAATGATCTGTTAGACAAAGGACTTTGATTTGTATTTGTTGTGTAACTCATTACCTCTGTTATGTTACAGACCATTAGTCTACACAGTTTTTTTAGCAGTCCTAATTCTTTCTTTACAAGTAAATTAGGGATGGTGGAAAATGGTAATAAAACCACCACCCATACAGCAAAGACTAATTCCTGCTGAAAAATCTTAAGTTCAAGATCAACTGAGAATTAGCAGGAAAACTAAGTCCTGATGGAACACTAAAGCTGTCTAAGGGTCCACTTTCTCCCATTCATAACGTCCTGGAAGTGGCTTATCATTGACTGGATCAAAGTTATACCTGCAAGGAGCACAAATCCCATATCATCAGCTTATAGAAAAAATTACATCAAAGCCAAGTGATACTGAAAGCAATTCTAAGCAGTTATAGGAAAAAGAAGCTTAAGTAAGCATAGTATACTTCTCAACAAATTGCCTTTGCTGCTGTTCTTCTGCACCAGCAAAGAACTCATCCATTTCATGTGCAGTTGGAATGTGTCTTTGCATTGAATTCTGTACTCTCCTGTTAGTATCTGTTGAGCTGGTAGGCCTAGTAGTAGAACCAGGAGTTCTTATGCTTTCTGGGTCCCTTATTAAGCTGCAAGGGGTTGATTCCCTAGTGCTCCTGCAAAGAAACATAGAAAACTATTTGTTAATAAAGAAATAACAGAATCTGAAAACAAGTATCTAGTGTTAAAAAGCCATAGAAGGGATTAAATTCAAAGCCCAAATAATAACCAAAAATGCTGAAGCACGATAGTTGTTCATCATGTTATACATGAACAACATACTTTTGAGAAAACACCCTCATGGTATGCTTAAGGTAAAAAGGCTTCAACTCTTGGGGAAAAGGATACAAAGCATAAGAGGCCCTCTCTAATTTTCGTTTGGAGTCCTTTCGAAACCATATTTTCTGCTTAGCACCCCTCATATAAAGGATTTCTAGTCAGAATGTCCAATGTTCAAAAAGGGATAAAATTAAAACAACCACCACGAAAAACAACAACGAAAATCAATAATAGTCTTTGTTTTTTTGTTTTGTTTTCTGCTACAGAGAAAACTATAAACAATTTTATTTCCTTCAATCAGAAGTGGCACTGAACCACTCAAGTCTAAGAAATAAGTATATAAATAAACTATTGGATCACCAACATAAGAAAGAAAAGAGAAAAAAATCTGAGACAAATCCCACCACTCTATTTGAAGAAAATAAATTCCCCGCAGGAAATTGGAACAATAGAAATTATATAATAATGACTATAAAACAGAAGAAATTTCATATACCGGCTTAAGCATAAATAAAGCAAAATCATTAAGCACTAGCAAAGGCTCCAAACAAAACATTCAAGCTTAGAAGGAGACTAAAAATTTTCACAGAAGGGAAAAAAAATGTGAAATTGCATCCTTATTTTTTTTTATTATATTAAAAAATAAAAAATAAAAAATAATAATAATCCTAAATACTCTTAACCACAGTATTTTTCTTAATCTATATCTAATCAAAGTTTTTTTTTTTTTTTTTCCAGTTTAGAATAAGGCCCGCAATTTCGCCTTTCCCTCCAACTTTCTCAGTAACCAAACATAACCGGAAACCCGAAAAAGATACCAGAAAGACTCTCAAAAGAGCTTTAACCAAAGAGGGGGAAAAATCAAAGAACAAAAATTTTTAAGGAAAAGAAAAACCCACCTCTCTCTACCATCAATGTCCAAAAGATTGTCTCCAAAAGACGTCTCAACACCCCAATCCTTGTTGTTACTGTTGTTCTTGCTCTCATTACTATCATTATTCCCTTGCGCAATCTCTTCTTCTTTAACCTCAACCTTACCCTTCTTTTCCCCCACCGAACTTGACCCCTGAGCCAGCCGCGTTCTCGAATTAGGGTTTTTCGCTGACCCCTGCTTGTTACCACCTTGTTGTTGTTGCTGCCTCTGTTTTTTAGACTCCTGGTGGACCAAAATCGGAGGCTTTTCAAGCCGGCGGCTCCTCAGCTGAAGATAAGACCCGCCACCGGTTGACCCAGCTGAAAGTGGAGCTGACCCAGTAGCTGGAGTGGCAAGGGATTTTTGGAGCCGTTGAAGAGCTAGGGTTTTAGCCCGGGTACGGACCCCAAGGGAGGACTGTGCAAACTCCATTACAGCCACCTCCCCTGCCGTCTTCGCCTTCCTTATATACTTTCCCATGTATATTTTCGATTTCTGGTTTCTGGGTCTTGCTTGAAAGAAACGAAGCTAAACTCTCATGGAGAGAGAGGGAAATCAAAAGGGTCGGTTTAGCAGTTGTTGGTTGGGAAGAGAGAAAGGAGAGAGAAAATGCCAGAAAAAATAACTAGAGAAGGAACCAAAAATATAAAAAAAGTAGGGTTGGGTTGGGGGATGGGGAGGACCGGAGGAGGAGCAATGCCTATTAACTCTCTATATACTGTATATCTGTGTACTTCCTTTTCAATTTCTCATGTATTGGTGTACTTCTTTTCAATTTCTCATGTACCATTTTCTCATGTCATTTATGTTTTGGGGAAAAAGAATTGTTTTTGGCAAATTGTTTTGGAAAAAGGTTTATATTTTCATTTTAAGCTTTGCATACCATATTTAAAATGTAGTTTTGAAACCATTAATTATTCATTATTAATTAATTTCTAAGAAGGGGTTCATTTTATTGTAGTTTAAAAAAAGAATTAGTAGTTTTGTAGTAGATAGACAAATTAATAAGCTCAAATTTGATAGCTTTTCTAAAGTGGATGCACAGGGTTTTTCAGGAGGGATATGGGTTCTATGGAATAATTCAATAAGAGAGGTCACTATCCTTGAAGAATTGCCACAAATGATCTTTCTGTTAGTTAAATGCCTTAATATGGAACCTTGGGTTTTTTTTTTTTTTTTTTTTT